GAGGGACAGCAGTAGGATACACAGAAGGAGAATTGCCATCTCTAAAATATCCGGGGTAAACACAGATTAACACACAAGCGGAATAGAAAAAAATATATATACTTGTAGGCCGAGCGCGAGAAAACGTCTTTCCGCACTCGTCACACATGCACGGCTTTTCGGCCATGTGCTAGGGTTAAACAGCGCCACCCCCCCCCCCCCCAGACAGGGACAGCAGATTTGTGGCTGTTGTGGCTCGGCTGAACCGCTTGCACCACCTCCTTTCCCCGCCGCAGGATGGTGCTCGAGCTAGCCCTCCTTGAGCTCAGCCCACGACTGGAATGTCGTTTCTTGGCCTCTGGTAAATGTTTACTAATGCCTAGAAAAATAAATTGTATTTGTATGCATTTAGTAACACGCGAATATGTGAAACTCGGGAATCGAGAACTCCCACATAGCAAGGGTTTACTGTATTGTCTGTCTCTTTCCCTCTGTCGCTTAATGTTTGGACTGCCATTGTGGTGGCACAGCAACGGAGCAACTTTGCCAGTGCTGCTATCCCCTAACACCCCACACACGAACGCACGCAGACCCCCACTAAATACACATGCACCCACGTAGGGTCTCGTGGGGGGGTCACCTGGGACGCTGGGTTTTTACCCGAGGGGCCCTCGGAGATTGGCCGACCCCCCCTCCAGGCCGAATTGCACTGCGACCCCGTGAATTAGCTTAAAATTGTATAGGCATGATGAGCTCACCGAGCAAACCGCAGTAAGAATACACCTAGCACAGGGGAATAGGGCATTGGAGGAGCAAGGCTCCCAGCGAGCAACGCGAGAGGGGAGGGACGGGCACGTAGATAATAGATTAGGGCGCAAGGGAGAGCCACACACCAGGTAGGTGCAGGGCATCGGTTGAAAATTGAAAGGTAGGCGCCCGATTGGCCGCACAAGGAACACTATGTGACCCTGGATTTTTGTATTCGGAGGGGACAAAGGGAGGGAAGGGAAAAACGTTAGTCAGTTCTCCTCCAGTCGGCTAGCTACCCGGTCGGACTCCCAGCCGCTCGCAGCGTCTGAGGGACGCTGGCGGGTGCAGCTACAACTCGACCCCAGGCAGGGACCGTGAGACACCATGAGTACGTCTGCGAGGTGAGAAGTAGCGTAAGGGTCCACCTAGGGATTGAATAGGAATACACTGGGCGCTGCTCGCTGAGAATTTTGCTCCGGGCCATGCAGGGTTTTGTTTTCAGGCGCACCATTAATAAATTTTAGTACAGAGCAACGACGCCGCGTGATTTCTGTGTGTGTGGGAGGGTATCGCTGTGGTGCGTAATTTGAGCGTGTGTGTGAGACTGTGGGACGTAGTAACTCATTGACTGCGTGGTGAGCAGTGTGCACCTGCATGGGCACGCACGTGCAAGTAGCCACCTCGGCATTAGTGGTGGTGTACGGGGGGAGTGTGTGGGATAACCCGAGGCGGTGGGGAGCCAGCCACTAGCCATGCTTCACAGAGAGGATGCTGGTGCGGGGAGGCCGATTACCCGATCGGCGGCAGCCCGGCGAGAAGGGGCAGAGGAGGAGGGGGGAGAGGAGGAGGGGGGCGTCAGCCCCCACACCATCACGGGTCACTTGAAGGTTTTTCGACCAAGTCGCTCTAAGGTGGAGGCATGTCTATGGGTTTTTTCCTTATGTGTGAGGTGCAATTTTTATGAAGTAGTGGCGGCCCCCTACAGAAGGGAACAGGTGTTTGAGTCCAAGCCTGCGTACCAACCAGCTCTGGTTGGAAGATACTTTAAAGCACCCTTTGAGTGTGGTGGGCAAAAAACTTAAGAAGGAGAGTGCGGATGAAATTAAGCAGACCCCAGTGACGTAATCAGAACTAGTAAATCCCGCGAGACCCCTTCCCGCTCATTAGCGAGTTAAAGAGCTCGGGCCCACAGTGAGCGGAATCCAGGAAGAGGGAGGCATGGAGAACCAAGGTGATTCTGGGGCAGATGGAGCTGTCGAGAGGACGCGTGTTGGTTGGTGGGGATCAAACCGTGTTGTTCCATGAGAATGCACACCTTTTGAGTTCCAGTTGCCACTGCATCGAGCTTACAAGGTCAAATAACCCGATAAAAATCTGGAAAGCCCAGTCAAGTCCGAGATGCCCTAAGAAAGGTTAAGCAGTTTGAGACATCTTTTTTTAAAGTAGTTTGTGCAATGTGTGTGTAAGAATGAGTTTTGGTGTTTGGTAGATAGCTGTAGAAAGATTTCATAACCTTTGTTAGTAATTCACTACAGGGAGATACAGCTAGGGTGCCTGTTTCTTGTCTGCAGCTGCCATAACTATGTCAATGGCACCACAATCCCGGACTCTGTTCTTTCAGTTCCAACTCTGAGCCACGGTGCCCATTAACCCATCTCTAACATCACCTCCTGCACCCATACTGGATTCTAACCCAGGAGAAACTCTGGACGACCGTAAGTCTAGGCAACAAACTCCTGTTACCGTGCCACAACCGTGCCTCTTGGCCCCATTGTGTCTGATCAGGCATGGGAGTGGCTGGGGCTAGTAAAGATTGCTGCCACTGGGTCTGAGCTGCCATGGCTGGACATCTATAGGCCTGCCTACTTCCTCTAAGCCCTCGAGGAAGGGTTTTAGTATGTTCTGATGGGCCACTCGGCAGCCAGGCCTCAATGGTAACAGGGCTGTCTAGACTGGTTGTAGATAAAAATCACGTTGGAATCTTTTCAATGCTGGACAATGTAACCAGATGCAATCCACAATTGTGTGAGTTTCTTGCCCGACACTCATAATGTTTTCATTTTTGGCAGGTACTCGATCACTTAATATATTTACCGTTGGGACCAGCCATGCTTCCCTCCCAAACATAAAAATGAGATTTGCCTTGTCATCATGGTGGCATCTTGTGTGCATATAATAATGAAAAAATGTATTTGTCCCAATCACTTTTGTTGGTCAGAAGCTTCTCTGTGGTAACCTCGTCCAGTACATACGCCTGCTTCAGCGATAGTCTCTACCTCCTAGTCAGCCATAAACACCAACAGGGAGATGTCCCCTTGGTCCATCCAGGGTAAATGACTCAAGATGTCCATTGCTACCATTTCTATTTGGTATATGAACTTCCTACACCTTTATTATTGCCAGAAAGGGTACATTATTTTTTTATCTTCATGGGACCTCCTTGCTAGTACCAAAATATGATAATGGGGTTTTCCCCTTTTATCTGGCAACAAACAGGTGTTAAGATGTTAAAACACCAAACTGAAACCTTTTACAAGGAATCATGTCTGTATTAACCACAATGCTTGTGGTCAGAATGCAAACAAAAACATACTTTGATAATATATGCAGTCCTTGAAAAAAAGGGGAAAACCTATTATTATATTTTGGTACTGGCAAAGGAGGTCCCATGATGTAGATGCTCACCCCAAGCTCTCATTACCCTGATAGTGCATTGGCTTTTCGGCTGTACACCTTTTGGCGTCCTCTGGTCTAACACCGTTTGGTGTGGACCAATCAGTTTCAAGGACAATGCATATATTATCAGAGTATGTTTTTGTTTGCATATTGACCACAAGCATTGTGGTTAATGCGGACATGATTCCTTGTAAAAGGTTTCAGTTTGGTGTTTTAACATTTTAACACCTGTTTTATTGCCAGAAAAAAAGGGAAAACCCTATTATCTTTTTTTCTTGTTTCATCATCTTGATATTGGCAAAAAGAGTCCCATAGACATGCCACCATTTTATTACCCCAGGACAAAGAAATGTACTGTAGCAGGGCCCACCGTAGCTTTGGTGGTTGTTTCCTCCTCACAGAGTGTAGGCTCGCTCCCGCCTATTGCTACACATCATGGTAAATACCCGCTCAAGCCTCAATGGAGCCACCGTGCAGTGTATCCTGTGGTGTCCTGCAGATTAAAAATCGTGACAGAGCTGCAGCACCTTCTGCCACTCTACATTGATGGCTCCCAGTCCTGGCAAAATTTCCCCTAGCTGTAGGACTTGCTTCCAAATGTTATGCACCCCTAAATCCTGGTGCAGGTGATGGGTCGATTTGGACAGGTCTTGACTTAAAACTTTCATGACTGCAGGCATACATATTCTATGGGTCTTTCGGTAAAGCCACGTCGATAGAAAAGTATCACGACGTTTCGATCGCAACACACGCAATCGTCTTCAGCTGAAGACGATTGCTTGTGTTGCGATCGAAATGTCGTGATAATTTGATTATTTTTCTATCGACGTGGCTTTACCGAAAGACATGTTTGGACAGTGTTAGTCCAAATTATTTCACGGGCCTCTACAAGCCGACACCATGGCATACAGTGGCAGTCCTCAACCATCCCAATAGACGGGCACCCTGGGCCTGAGGTTCGTGGGTATCTGCATAAGGCAGCTACGACAGCGCATCGGAATTGTTGTGGCCTGCACAAACCCGATGCACCACCATCATGGTAAACTCGTGCATTTGCTCTACCCACTGAGCTATCTGCTCCAAGTGCAGATGCAACTGGAGGGTGTGCCACAGGGCTGCGTAGTCGGTTCATGCTCTCAAGGGTAGGCCATATATATAGGGTTGGAACACCAATTTAAAGCACTCGGGTTAATAATCCTTTCCTGGTAACACAGTATTGCTACTTCGGCACCGTCAATGTCCTACTACCATACGCAATGACCCTCTGCATCCCGTTAAAGTCCCCAGGCCCATATTGCTAGCATCCGTGTCCAATATGAAGCGAGGTCTTCGTTTGTGTGAATGGGAATCTGCATCAGTCTGCTTTCAGACTTGGTTGATCAAAATCGGTTTTAGAGACCATAGCCCATCCGACCTTCACACTGGAGTGATGAGTGATGTCATGGCCACTTAGTGGCAAATGGATACTGTATTTTGAATAAATGTGTGAGAATTGTATTTATGTACTCCGATTTGCACGATTGGCTATGTACGATGCGAAAAAAGTTCAACACATATACGGACTGCAGTAGTAATATCTGCACGTGTATGTCTGTTTGTCCTTGTATAGTGTGCTGACCTCAGCAAATCAGGAAGGAATTTGCTTGAACCGTGTATTTTTTTCATATCATTTATTTCCTCACTCATAATTAGATCCTAAATATACACTGTAGAGTTCCAATGATGACTACTATCAATCATACTTGTTCTGCCTTTTCTTAATGTGCACGTGATTGAAAGTCTCTCCACACGGTTTCAGTTGTGAGGACCATAGCTACTACTTCTGAAATGGCAAACCATATACTTGGATGGGTCCAGGAGGATTGCTGATTGAAAATGGTAAATACAATTGACACCTATAAATATTGCAGTATTTTCAATATAAAAGAAGTCATACTTTTTGTAGGTGATTCAGAAAACAATGTTAGTCGAGGTGCGTGTGAATCTATGATGCATCACGTTTTATACCTTGAGTGTTGTTCTTTATTGAGTGTTGGATATTGCGAAAGTGCAAGTGCTGCAACTCACCTGACTGTCCCTGGCATCACTACCAACACCATTTTGTCAGCTTTATTCCCACATAGTTGTACACCAGTAGGTCTTGAAGGTTGAGGTGAGATTCAATGGAGTTGGTTTTTAGAAAATGTATTGGGTTACCCTGGACAATCTCAACAATGAGTTACGTAAATAAGGACACGTCCTAACTGCATTGCCGGGTGATAAGTTTATTGTTGGAGTGTACCATAAAATAATGAACAAATATAGAATTAATAAAAAAAAATGTATCTTACAATTGCGGCCAAGTATTCTTACATTTCTGAAAATATCAATTTAGTTAAAGTAAGGCTTACTGAATTGGAAAAAAAACGACAAAAAAAATCAACCGAGCTCTCTTACTGGACGACCAATGTACATGTTCTTGATAGTGCTACCTTGACCTTGTGCTGTATAGAGATGGCTGCTACTGGGAATCGGTTAGCTCGACTGCCACAGAGCACTGGAAGGATTAACATAAATACAAATACATCTGCAAATTCTGTAATGCACACAGTTTTTGTTACATTGATAAGTGCAAGAAACCATAGGCATCTTTAACCGGGCCTAACAATTTTTCAAAGCTCCGAAGCCATATATTGGGATGTTTGGACAATTCCATTAATTCGTGTTTATAATAGTATCGAATTTAATGGAACGTTGAGATGCTAAGGCATTTAAGAGCGTCACAAATGCTGATCCTTTTTCTTAAGGAAGCATGACCACTATGGCATCACTCTCTTTGAATGAACACACAATAATTTCCGAACGTGTTTCACAATCTCCTCATCCCTGCTGCCGTACAAAAAGGGGCTCATGAAGCGAGGAATCACGTGCAGAATTAAGAAGAATGTAACCCTGACTATGAGCGTGGCCCCAGCCTGCAGGTGCAATAACTCTGCCGACTTGTTAAACATAGGTATGGCCACCGGCAGGAGGCACAGACCCAGCTGGATTCCGTGCAGGGCTATGGTCTTTCTGGCCTTAGAAAAGCTACTATATCCCTCTGAGGCCCTCTTAGCAGCCCGAGCCGTCATGGCATAGGACATTACTACAAACAACACAGAAAATGTAAATACCGTGTACAAAAACGTGTCACGGATAATCGTTGCTGCCTTTCCATATGGCATGTCTGCATCCAACTCGTTCATTTCACATACAATTTGGTGCTGGGTCATGAAGAGCAGGCCACTGCCTACACAAAGGAAAAGACGGATGGTTGGCACTGACAGAGACAGTAAGCAGACGCCAGCAACTACCTGTAAAACACAAATATTCACACGAGTTGAATTAAAGAGTTGAACCGAACTGAAAACCGAAACAAAACAATGAGTATAATCTTGGGTTATTTTTTTCCGAAATTGCACCCAGAACCCGAATTAAATTTGTTACAATGGAAAAGATAGGTACCAGTTTAAAGAGGTTCAACATAAAATTGTAAAGATTATTGACCAATAATACTCCTGAAAAAATGGTCCTGAGACTAAATGCGGTTTTCTTTGATAAATGTAATTGCAATTTTCTCCTCAAAATAACGTGAACAGATGTATTAAGATCAACATGTCACCATCATGGCCAAAGCCGTTGATGTTACCACACCTTGCCAATGCTCTATATCCTCCACCAGGTCCCACAACGACCACCCTTATAGTATTCCACCACTTGGCCTTAGATCGTCCCCTTTATCATCAGACTAGTGGAAAAACCACTCCAATGGCTCTCAGCAACTAGCTCTCCCTGATTCCACATGCATTTCCCACACAAAGTAAACAATTTAGCATAATCATGTACCTAATGTAATGCCTAGGGTTTCACGGCCAATCAACGTCATCATCATGATCCATCGGCAGATAGCCTATAGGTTTCTACTGCAGATTTTATCATTTGCTTCGAATATGCTCAAATAGTGCACATCTTTCTGGCGCCAATCTCTTATGTAGTGAAGCCATCCTATTTTAGGTCTTCCTCTCTTTCCTGTTACTTCCATTTTTCCAAATAACACACTTTTTATTTTCCTGTTGATGTTCCCTCTACATATATGTCCAAATAGTGCCACTGTTCTTCTCATCACTGGCTGCATCAGGTTTTCTTCTATGTGCAACCTTTTTCTTACTTCTACGTTGCCCACTCTTTGGCTCAAGCTTAGATGCAGTATCCTTCTGTAGCAATATATTTCGAGTGCCAATATCTTATCTCTGTCAGTCTTTTTTAATGTCCAAGTCTCCCCGGTATACAACGTTGTACTGAACACATATGTTCTTAAAATGCTCAGTTTGGTCTTGTAGCTGATTTGCTTGCTTCTCCCAGATGTTATTTCAATCCTGACATTACTCATTTGGCCTTTGCGATCATCGCTCCTATGTCTTCCGTGCAGTAGACTTCCCAAGTGTACAATCTTGCTGCATTCTATCCACTTTGCCTTGATGAGCTGTAGGTCTGGTAATTCTGGGCTTCCTATGGCAGTGGGTAGATGTTTCTGCATATAGAAGAGGGCCCCTTGGTGAGTGTTGCCCTTGGCTTCGTCTGGAAGGCCATGGGCCTTCAGCTGCTATTTCTGTCCCTTAGCGTCCAGCTTGTTATTGGCTGCCTCCAGTTACAACAGTCTGGCTTCGTAGGTCTTGACCAGCTCATTTTGCTCCACTGTTGCGGCATGGAGGGTCGTCGTCAGAGCTTCCTGTTTCTTGAATCTACTCAACCTCTGATTGACAATTTGAAGCAATGCTGTGTTTTTCTCCATCAGTCGAACTAGCTGCTCGATCCTCTTCAGGACGGTTCGAAGTAGCTTCGCCTCTCCTCCTGGGAGGGTCTCATGTTTCACCTTAACCGGGGAGACCAGTGGGGATGAGGCCTTGGAATTTTTGCCTGAGGCTCTGTCTGCTATTGATCACGAGGTGATGAGCGAGTGTATTATTCTAGACTTTGCACAGACATTGGTTGCACAAAGAGGCCCTTGGGTCTCGATAGTCCTTTGTCTGCTCAATTAAGTACAAGAAAGAAAAAAAACCTCCCTCTGGGGTATTGGGACTAAACAATAATAAATAATCGATAAGAAAAAAATAAAGGTGGTATAATGGGTGTACTAGGTTGAAATTCAAAGTAGAGGTTGGAGAGGTCCATTCAGCGCTGCTCACTCGGCCATGACGTCACTAGAAGTCCCGAAGAACACACTTTTAAATGTCTTGTTGTCCATCCTATGTATGTGTCCACATAGTGCCAGTTTCCTTCTCATCACTGCCTGGCATCAGGTCTTCTTCTATGGCAACCTTTTTCATACTTCTACGTTGGCCACTCTTTTGGGCCCAGCTTAGATTGCAGTATCCTTCTGAGAAATATGTTTTGAGTGCCAATTACTTGATTTGAAGCATTCGTGACTGCAGGAATGCATACTCTTTGGTTCTTTACCGAAAGAACCAAAGAGTATGTCAATATCTTATCTCTGTCAGTCTTTTTAATGTCCAAGTCTCGCAGGCATACAAAGTTTTACTGGACACGCCTGTTCTTAAGATGTTCAGCTTGGTCTTATAGCTGATTTGCTTGCTTCTGCAGATGTTATTGAATCCAGTCATTACTTCGTTTGCCTTTACGATTCTGGCACTTTCGTGCAGTTGTTGTCCAATGTCAGTAGACATCCCAAGTATAAAAAATCCTTTACATTCACAATCTTGTTGCTTTCTATTCTTACTTCTTTTTCGATGTTCTCCCTTCTGAATACCATCGTCTTTGTTTTTTCCACGTCAATCCTCAGTTTTGCATTCTTTCCTTATTCAGTATATGAAGACGTTCCTGTAGAATAATGGTGCTTTCTTCCATTAGATTTATGAGGTTCGCGAATGTCAGGTTATTTATCCTCTCTCCTTGCACAGATTTTCCTATGTCATTGTCCTGAATGGCATCCATCACTCTTTCCAAATATGTCACAAAGTTGTTTGGTGATAATGTATCTCCCTGTCTCATACCTATTGTTGTTTGGAACCATTCTATTTCCTGTCCAAACTTTACGGCTGACTTTTACCTTTAACAACTTACATCCTTCAGAATCTGTATCAGTCTTTCTCCTACTTCCTATGATCTTAAACTTGCCCACGTTATATTTTGCTTTGTCGAATCGAATGCGTTCTCTACTGTAAGCATTAACATCAAGATTTGCTTTACTGCATTCCTATTTTTTCCCAAACCCTGCCTGTTCATCTGCCAAATAATCCTCAGTCTGCGCTTTTTATCGATTTAATAGTACTATCACTAGTACCTTCTCAATGTGGCTCATGAGTGTGATGGGTCTGTAATTTTTACAATCGGCGAGATCTCCTTTCTTGGGTATCGTCACAAGTATGGATTTGATCCACTCCTCTGGTATTGTCCCTTCTCTCCATACTTGCTTGCAAAGCAAATGGATTTCTTTTATACGTTCCTTCCCTCCAGCTTTTGTAATTTCTCCACTTAGGTCGTCCGCTCCTGAACGTTTATTTATTCATATGTTTAGTTGCCTTTGTAAAAGATGTTTTAACTTTCATCATCCCTTGGTGTTGGGGAAATCTGTTTTAGTTTATTCGGCAGCTCTTTATTATTTTGATCCGTATCCCTATCAAAATCGCTATAATACTCAGTCCATTTCTTTTTTGCATCTTCTCTGTCCATCAAGATCTTACCATCCTTGCTTTTCATTGCTGTTTACCTTGGTTGCCACTTCCTATTTGTGCTCTTGACTAGTTTGTACACTGCTTGCTCAACTTTATTCTCGATATCTCTGCTAATGTCCAAGAATGCTATAAAACGCTAGAAAGCACAATTCTATAAAACGCTAGAAAGCACAATAGATTGTGCTTTCTAGCGTTTTATAGAATTCTTCAATATGCCCTTGTGCACAATCTGACGTTGGTACATATATAATTAAGGGTTTCCCATCAAATATCGCTGCAATTACCCTTGGACTAACTGGTATGTATCCCAAGAATAATGTTTTGGATTTTGTGCTTAAGAAGAACCCTACTTCTCTGGTGTGCACTTTATCTTCCCCCTGGCCAAATCACTTCAATTCGATTTATTTCCCCCGTTCCTGTCCATCTCATTTCTGCCAGTTCTAGGATGTCGTACCTCTATCTTTCAATTTCCTTTCTCAGCAGCTCTAACACTATGGACAACAGCGCAGCTCTAACTGTCCTGTTGCCCATAGTGTTCTCACATCCCATGTCCCTAATGTAATCTCCTAATTTGCGACCAATATTATGATTAATATTTAGTTTATTTTGGGTTAGATTATGTAGGTATAATTTTTTAAAACTATAACCCTCCAACAACTGACAGAATCAATAAAATCAAGCTGTCACAACTCAAACGGCATATTTGCTCATTTGACAACTTGATTTGATCAGCTCTGTTGGGTGGTGGAGTGTTATGGTAAAATATGTACATTTTCGCTTTTTAAATTATTTAAGGCAAGATTAAATAATAATACAACATATTACCTTTCATGTTCTCTTCTATCTCAGACAATGATACTGAATATGCAACAACTTATTTAGTTTGTGTCAAACTCCATACTGGAATACAAATATCACTCCTCCCTCAAATACAATATTATTTACACCGAGATGTATCTTTTCTTCCAAAGTAATGTATATATCCCATGAAAAAAATATTAGTACCCACCATATAATGGATGATAAACAAGATGGGGTGGGGGGCAGTGGGGGGGGGGGGGGATAAAAAAAATGAAAAAAAAATGGAATATTTGAAAATCGCACATTACAGAGCAATGCTGACTTATTATTTGAAACGTCTACATTTTTTGTAGAATCGTTACCACATCTCCATACCATGTGTGTTCTTATAATAATTTTGAAGTTGCGTTAATGTGTTAATATTTAATGTTTGCTTTGTAATATAATAGCTTTACTACCCGGCTTCACCCGGGACTTGGATTCTTGTCTTGGATTAATACACGGCCTACGCGGAGGGTTGGAGGGGGGATGCGTGACGTCAGCAGGCACACTGGGTGACGCTGCCGCATGCGGGTGACATCACAGATGTGACGTCATCACTCACTTGCAAAATATATCCATTATTGCGCCCCCCCCCCCCCCCAATACAAAAGTCTATTTTTATACTTGCATTTTATACTATGCATTATGTACAGTCTGGAAGCTACCCACATGGCAGATTTCAAGTTTGTTGCATGTTGGGAAGTATGCTAAACATTTCGAACAGACACACATTCACAAATTTCCCTTATATATAGATTGTACATTTTGAGTACTCCAAAATGAAAGCTATGAATGTGATACATTTATTTGTGTTGGTAGACTGTAATATATATTTTAAGAAAACGGAAATACTGGGGGTACCACCCAAGATACTGTGTATTATTACTATCATCATCCAGTATGGTGCTTGATGTGACACTCATACCACGTCCAATAATATACCTGCAGGCCGGACTGTCGGTGGGCCAGTTGGTGGTATCGCAGTGGCTGGCATATGGCCAAGCAGCGCTCCAGAGCCATGGCCGTGATGGTAAGGGTGCTGTTGATATGAAGCGCCATACTCAGGTTGATGAAAAAACAGCAAAGCACGCGAATTATCGAGATGCGCTCCAATCTTATTGTCATTATCATTCCCGATATGAACACGTAGAGCATGTCGCTGGTCATCAAGTTCATGAAGAGGATGTACTTGGTGCTCTCCATGAAGGTAGTCACCCGGTCGAAGAGACACGCCATGAGCACAAACATCACAAAAGACGGCAACCACGTGATCAGCAGCACAGCGTACACCACATAATTAGTGGTGCTCCAGATCTGCTCTGGTGGGAGCGAGGTCTCGTTTCCGAAAGATCCATTAATTGGTAGAGTTGTCATGTTTTTAATTCAATTCTGTAACCGGAAACACACGTGGATGGGGGGGGGGACGAGTTATAAACATAATCCATACGTATTAATCCTGTAACACTTTCCAACATGATTATGTCCTTGATGTAGTTATCTAGGTATATAAAAGCCGACGTGTAGCTGAAAACGCGTTTTATATTCATACTCTTTGGTCATATTCGGTAAAGTCACGCGTTTTATATTTTCAAATATAGGCATTCTCGAACTTCCGACTTATGAACATCTGCACTTACGAACGAACCACCTTAAGATGTTATTATTTTTAACTATCCGACTTGTGAACATTCGTTTGTACTTATGAACCGAATATAACTATTTGGTTCAGCGGAGTGATCGTCCGCGAGAAATAATGGGGCCTAGCATCCTAGAAACACCCCTTCTGACAAGCAAGCCAGCATCAAAATTTAAGGTAAGTCAAAACAAAGCTGATTTTTTAAATGTTATTTATTGTTTTATTTACTACTAGCGGGAAGTAGAGTGAGTAGTATTTAGTGACTCTATAGTATTGATTTAAAGCTTTCGTGACTGCAGGGATTCATATTCTTGGTTTTTTCGGTAAAGTAACGTAGAAGGGAAACAATAGAATAATAAAAATATAAAACAATAAAATTTTCACGATGTTTCGACTGCAACACAAGCAATCATCATCAGACGTGAAAACGACAGCAAGAAAATTTTTAAAAAGTGGCGGTTTTTTTAACGTTAGCACCATAGAGAGCGATTTGGCAGTTATTCAGATGGACGAGTCCATCTATGTTCGGAAAAGAGGAGGGGGGAGACGAAAATATTGGATGCGGTCTGAAAGCCACCATAAGCGTGAACAATCAATTAAGACCCGAAATGGTTTATCAAATCCTTCCAATGATTGCTAAGCTAGAATCCATCTTTTCGGTTGAAATTGTCTCTGTGTTTGTATATGTGGATAGCCTCATGAACGAATCTTTCATGGTAGCCAGATGGCTTGCAAAGAACCTTTGTCTTGGAGAAGTCAATGTCATGTGAGCCTACTGAATTAGAACAGTGATCTGCCACGGCATGTCTCGGACCGCATTCGTGAACACAAAGCAGACCTAAAACATGGTAGGACCAACACCTCGGCCGTGGCAGATCACTGTTATAATTCATGGTAACAGTATCTCGGCAGATCACTGGAATATAATCGACACAATTACACAGCAATCAGCTGATAATGTATTTAACAAAACTAACACTACCCAATTTTACAAATTTGCTAGACTAACTAATAAACAACTCTCTACTAAAAATGGACATTTCATAAACATAGCGGTTATCAACATGACTAACGTTGAATTATCCTGCGTTATGGTTTCAGTCCTGTCTAAAGGTCTTAACATTGCTGAAGCCCCACGTACACTCCCATTCGATGAGATAATTGCTGAAGTAAAATAAGCAGTTAGACATCTCCCTCATAATCAAGCTGAGATGACTTGGCACGAGGTTGCCAAAATTATTGAAAACAGCAAAGTGCATAAAACAAATAGTAACTTCAGTGAAGCAAAAGCCTTAATCCTAATGATATTCTCGTAAGTTTTGATGTGACCTCTCTGTTCATGAGGGTTCTGGTCAACCAGTCAATTAAATTACTCGACACTCTGGTAACGAACAAAGGTTTAGCCAAAGATATCCCAAGACTAGCTGAACACTGTCTAAAGAACACACTTTCTGTGGCAAGGTGACTTCTATAAACAAAAGGAAGGAGCAGCAATGGGCTCTCCTTTATCTCCTGTGATAGCAAATTTGTACATGGAAGAATTTTAAACAAAAGCAATAGCTTCAAGCACACTAAAACCATCTGCTTGGTTTAGATATGTGGATGACACATTGGTGGTCTGGCCACACAGCAAAGATACACGGAACGCATTTCTAAATCATCTCAACTCGCAAAACCCATCCATCCAGTTCACCATGGAAGTGGAAGCTGACAGAAGTCTACCATTTCTGATATTTTGCTCGGATGGGGAAGAAATGGTAAAATAACACAGTGTTTACCAAAAGAAAACGCATACTGATGCCTATCTGAATGCAGAGTCACACCATCACCCCGCACAGAAATATGCTCTTATCAAGACGCTCATTCATCGAGCTAAGAAAGTGTTATATGGTGACAGTCTGAGAAGTGAAATTCAACATGTTAAAGAAGCGCTGCAAATGAACGGTTACAATGATGCACAAATCAACAGGGCATTGAATACTAAAACCAAATCAAATAACAAAAGCATTGAAACTGCCCAGGTAATGAAAACGATCAAAATACCGTACATTACGGGACTAACTGATAAACTAGCCAGATGTTTGGAAAAAACAAAACATCCTAGTCAGATTTGGCACGGTACATAAAATACAGAATTTTATATCTGGTACAAAAGATGTATTACCGAAGCTATCAACCGAAGGTGTCGACAGGATTAACTGCACGTGTTATCATTGTTATGTTGGACAAACAGGACGAATGATCAGCACGAGACTAAAAGAACATCAAAGAAATATTAATTTATCCCAAATGCAACTGTCAGCAGGAGCAGAACATGCGTGCCAACAAGGACACTCAATTGATTTTGATAATGTTGAAGTTTTGTGCAAAACTAGCTACTACTAGCCAAGACTAATTAGAAAATCTATCGAAATTGAAAGAAATCAAAATAACTTTAACCATTCCGATAGCTACCGTCTTAGTGCTCATAAAAGAATACAATTTTTTGAAATGCAGGCTTACAAAGGGCAGCGTACTTCAATAGGAATTACTGTTGGTAGGGCTATTTTAATTAACACAATAGACAGGAAGGACATGTTCATAGGGCTCGCACAATGCACATGCCTAATGTACGTTGTCTCAGTAACCCCCCCCCCCCCCCCCCCCCACAGTGTGCAAGAGCGCAGAAGGGTGGTCAACACATCTATATCTATGCCTATATAATGAAGGAAACCGTAAGATTTCTCCACAAATTTGGCTGTCGCCTGATGAAGCAAGTTGTAATTACTGGTTAAACGTCGTACTCAGTTTGTAAATGTTGTGGCTTGGTCCTCCAACACACTGGTGTGCTGTACTAGTGACGAATTGGCATGTGCTGATTATATGACAACTCTTACTAGTTGGCTGTGTCGGGTGGTGGCGGGTTTTAACAACACATCTATATATTTATACGCGATATAACCCAAAAACCTCTATTGTGGATGATATTGGTCACGAAAGCCTACGTGTTAAAGTGACCAGTTAAGTCTACGAAGGGGCCCAAGTGGGGGATAGGGGTGATCACGTGGTTAGCATCCAGATCCTTCCTGAGGATTCTGGAAGGTGGTCGTGGCCAAGGCCGGAGCCAGCCATGCTGCAGAGAATATAATCCGGGTCTCCAGAGGGACCTAGGTTGTTGTTCAGCCTGAAGAAGCCTTCGTCAACGTTCTACGTTCTCCGCTAAACGAGTATCCAACACGTGTACCTGGACCCGTGTTAATTAGTGTTATTCTGTTAAGGGGAAGTTAGCCCATGTGTTGGAGTTAAATAAATGTGTTGCCTCCAAGTATACGTCTGCGACTCAGTTGAACTCACTACAGTAGTATCTGACCCTACAGTAGTATCTGACTCTACAGTAGTATCTACTGACTCTATAGTAATATCTATTGCCTCTAAAGTAGTATTTACTGATTGTAGTAGGATCTGCTGACTCTGTAGTTGTATCTACTGGCTATACAGTAATATCTACTGAGCCCAGTAGTAGCTACTGACTGTATAGTAGTATCTACTGACTGTAGTAGTACCTACTGACCATAGTAGTATCTACTGACCCTACAGTAGTAACTACTAACTTTATAGCAGTATCTACTGACTCTATAGTAGTATATGCTGACTCAATAGCATGTATCTTCTGACTCTATAGCAGTATCTACTGACTGTATCGTCATATCTACGGACTCTGCAGCAGTATATACTGACTGTAGTGGAATCTACTGACTAGTATTATCTACTGACTCTATAGTAGTATCTACCGACTCTACGGTAGTATCTACCGACTCTAGAGTAGGATCTACCGAATCTATAGTGGTAATTACTGACTCTGCAGTAGTATCTAATGACTATAATAGTACTTACTGAATCTATAGTAGTATCTATTGACTATAGTAGTAACTACTAACTCCATAGTAGTATCTACTAACTCTATAGTAGTATCTATTGACTGTAGTAGTATTTACTGACTGTAGTAGCATCTACTGACAGTAGTAGTATCTACTAACTATACAGTAGTCTACTGACTCTATAGTAGTATCTACTGACCGTAGTAGTAGTGTATGCATACTGTATAGTAGCTACTACTGACTGTAGCAGTATTTATAGACCGTATTGTTATCTACTGACTGTAGTAGTATCTTCTGGCTCTATAGTAGTATCTGCCGACTCTACAGTAGTATCAGCAAACTTTATAGTAGTCAATACTGACTCTACAGTAGGATCTAATGACTATAGTAGTATCTACTGAATCTATAGTCATATCTATTGATGCTATAGTAGTATCAAACTGACTATAGTAGTAACTACTAACTCTATAGCAGTATAAACAGACTCTATTGTAGTATCTGCAGACTCTATAGCAGTATCAGCTGACTCCATAGCAGTTTCTACTGACTCTATAGTCGTAACTCTGCAGCAGTATATACTGTAGTATGTACCGACTCTATAGTTGTTACTACTGCCTCAATAGTAGTATCTAGTGACTCTACAGGAGTTTAGACTGACTGCAGTAGTATCTACCAAATCTATAATAGTATATATCGACTCTATATCAGTGCCTACTAACTCTATAGTAATATAAACTGACTATAGTAGTATTTACTAACTCTATAGTAATAGCTTCCGACTCAATAGCAGTATCAACTATCACTACAGTAGTATATACTGACTATATAGTAGTATCTACTATCACTACAGTAGTATATACTGAATATAGTACAGTAGTATATACTAACTGTAGTAGTATCTACAATCAGTAGTATATCCTATCACTACAGTAGTATATACTGACTGTAGTCATATCTACTATGACTAAAGTAGTATATACTGACTGTAGTATCTACTATCACTACAGCAGTATATACTGACTGTAGTAGTATCTACTATCACTACAATAGTATATACTGACTGTAATACTATCTACTATCACTACAGTAGAATATACTGACTGTAGTACTATCTACTACCACTACTGTAGTATATACTAACTGTAGTACTATCTACTATCACTACAGTAGTATATACTGACTGTAGAAGTATCTATTATCACTACAGTAGTATATACTGACTGTAGTCGTATCTACTATCATTACAGTAGTTTATACTGACTGTAGTATATACTATC